AAAAAATATAATCAAAAGGAAAAAATAAAGATATCAACAAAAAAAACAATGAAATATTTACTTTTGTAGAGCATGTAAAAGTTGAAACAATTAGTAGAGAGAGAACAAATATAAAAAATGATCAATAATGATGTTTCTCCAAAGAAGTGATGGTGGGCGGTTACTTAAAGAAAAATAAAAAATCAATAAGAATTTTCATGTAAATAGCCCTTAAAGAATATTTAAGGGTAAAGAAGTTCAAAAAAAAAAGTGGATACTAAATCAAAGTATCCCTTTATTAATACTAGTAGAAAAAAGAGACACTTGTTCCTCTTAAGTTTTAGGAATTATAAATAAAGTAAAAAAGAGATAAATTCAATGGATAGTTGTGTATGGTTATTTTTTTTAGGGGAGTTGTGTATGGTTATTTAACAAATATAAGTAATTATTTCATTTATTTTTTTTTAACAAATAAAGGGTATGATAGTCCACTAAAAGTGGAAATTAAAAATGGTTATTTATTATGTATTTTCTTTATGATAAGTATATAGATTAGTGAAAATGATGCATTTCGTGTCTCGTCATAAAAAAATAAAAAAATAAAATAAAAATGATGAAATAAGAAAGTATATAGTTAATTTCAAAATAATAAGTAATTAAACAAATTAATTAAAAGGTAAAAAAAAAGTAGTTAAACAAATTAAGTAAAGAGTAAAAGATTAAAAAAATTGTAAATACCAAAATAAGCTATCCTTTTTATTAATATTATAAATATTTTTTTTCAAATTATATAGTACAATTATATATATTAATTAATCTGAAATAAGCCTCCGAATATTTATCAAGTAACCGCATTTATCATGCAGTCTTATAATATTAAAATTGAAAATTTTCCATCTTATTCATCACATTACAACTTCGTACGACGAACAAATAAAAAACCTATATATAAACTAAACTTGCCGGGGAGTCAAGGAGCCAAATTATGTCCTAAAAAACGGTTTTGGACTTTCATGAAATATCCAATTATTTAAGAACAATGATTAAGTTCCCAAAATAGATAAATTTATCATGTGTCAAAATCATGATTTGAAAAATGAAAAAAATAAAATAAAAGTGCTTCTCATTTTTATAAGATAGCAAAAGGCCACCACTACTAGTCTTCACTCGTCATCTGTCTTAATAAAATAATAAAGTTTCCAACTTCCACATTGTTTATAGACACATGCCCTAATCTGCAAGAAATTAATTAAGACCAAACTATCATTGGACCTTTCCTAGTATTCAACATGTATCGATATACGTACACATTTACAAATTTGTATATTATTTGGTCTTTTCATATTATTTTTGATACATTTTCCACAATTACGTGTTACACTTTTTTCCTTTTTAATGATATTCGTAATAGTTGCAGAAAAATGTATACATCAAATGATGATGTAATTTTTTTTATATATTTTATTATCTTCCCTAAAGAACAACTTTTGGTTTATTTTCTTTATATTTAGTATTTGATCATTTTATCTTTTCTGTCTTCTTAAATTAATGTGGAGATTTTATGTTGTTTCCCCACGTTTCTACTAATTGAAAGAAGAAAGAACATGAACAATGTACGTATAAGAATTTTTCTTCTTTAAAACAACTTCATTTTCTGTTGTTCTATTCATTGACAATGTAAAAGTCAGCGGTTTAGTGCCTTGAGGAAATACAGGTTACACAGAAATGCATCACATGCAAATTTTGAATAGTTCTTGTTATACTGTTCCCATTTTAGTTATTTATTACTTCAAAATACACAATTATCTAAAAATTCATAATCACTTGCATATGATAATAATTTTCTATTTGCTTATCAATTAATAGCTAGCTATAAATTAATATTTGAATTTAATTAATTAGGTATTGTCTGAAACTTGACTAAGGCAAAAGGGTATACGTTAAGTTGCTAAGAAAATTTATCAAAAGAAAGGGAAAAAGGAAAGTTGAGATTATAAAATGGACATTTTTTTTAAATAACCAACAAAATAAAAATGAACTATAAATTGGTACAAGGATACTCACCATAGTGTAAGAAAGTCAAGGACACGTTATAGATCTTTCAAACAAAAAATTTCCTTCGTCCAAGTAGAACACGTTAAGTCTTTAAGGTAAACATAATTTTTTAAGATTACTTTTTTTATTTATAGGAATTATTACAAAGATATAAGGGAGTTTAAACATAAAATCATGCATATATTATCTTAAATTATCTAAAAGCATTATATTATTCTTTTTTACTTCATAAATTTTTATACTACCCTAAATTATCTAAAAGCATTAAGATCAAAAAAAATATCTAAAAGCATTCAATTATACTTTTTACTTCATAAATTTTTTAACTAACTTTAATTAATACACTTCTATCGAAGACCTAAACATTTAAAAAAAAAAAAAGGGTATGCAAATTATATAACCTGCCATTTTTATTTTGTATTTTTTGGTAAGGATAACCTGCCATTTGACTTTACATCTACATAAATAAAAAAAAATAAAAAATAAAAATAAAAATAAATAAATAAAAAGGGAAATTGACACGTGAAAGTCAGAAGGTAGCTTGGTCATAAACCGACAACGTGGATTGGATTAATATGAATGAGGCTATGACGAAGGGAACTTTGTGGGTTTGAGTGACTTACACAGTCTTTGTCTTTGGAACCAATTTTAGTTGGAAATAACCAAACGAGCACCTACTGATTTTGAAATATTAGTCATCCTTAATTATGAATATTAAATGAATTAGTAGGTAAATCGATTAAATCAACACATTTTTAATGCTTAAATCACGGATTAGTTAGATCGAGTCAACCAACTCAAACACATGCATGCCTCCGTGGATGATTTTAATTTGCTTGTTCATATTTTCAATGACGTTGGCATAAGTGATATATAGAGTAATATATTGTGGTTTATTTTATACCAAAAAATTAAGCTGACTCGAGCTAACTCAGTCGTTGGATAATCATTAAATTTCAATATCAAATTGAATGTTACATGTTACTTGAGTTTTAAGTAGTGATGAAAAACAAGTAGAGATTTTAGGTTTGATTTTTAATTTATACTGTTTTTCTAATATGTTATCGGTAAAAACTTGTAAGACTTAAACAGATCAAGATTTCGGTCCAATAAGGAAATTTGTGTTATCGTACATTTTTAATCAAGAACAAAATTATATGTTGATCAAGTGTGTATAGTAAATCACTTAACTTATAATTAAGTTTACTTTCACCAATCATATATAAACTAGTTTATTGATTAAATTAAGTCTGATTGATAAACAAGTATATTTTGGTAACTTCTTAAATAGCTTATGAAAATAAACTACCTTATAATTTTTTTTTTCATTTTTATCCTCACTAATTTATCAAAATATCTTCTATTTTAAATAACTAAGTATTTTTTTTAATGTCATGTTATATTTATTGGCTAATTTATTAGTAAATTTTTTAAAAAACTTTTAAATCAATATATAGGTTGGCTGGGAAAATTCCAACTTTCATGATATGTCCGGAGAATTGTAAAAATTAATTATTTGAATAATTAGTTATATCTATAATCAATTAGAATTAGAATAAATTATTATTTGGATAAGTTTTCTGAAAAAATAATTAAGTTATTTAATTTTATTTATATACAATTAAAAAAAACCAATTTTACGTACTAAATCATTTTTAGAGAAGAAAAAATCTATTAAGAAATAACCACAAACTTCATATTTTCATATGCATGAAAACAACTTATTTTTTGAAGAGAAAAAACTTTTTACGAATTTCAATTTGTTCCAAACACACAGCTTATATTGAAACAAATTTTGATGAAATGGTGAATCACTTCTCAATTAAAAAAAAAAAAAACATACTAACTTATAAGAACATCAATATTCAATGCTCTTCAAATAAATAACCCACTTTATATTTTTTAAATGGGCTCATTCATGCTAACTAAATTATAAACAACTCATTTAATTTTCTCTCTAATCCAAGTTCTTATCATCTTAACTCACAGTTTTTTTTTTCTTCAATATTTTATATTCTCTTTCTTACATTGACATACGCAAATATTAATTAACTCACAAGGGAGAGTTGCTTATATAAACAATTTTCTTTAATTTTAAGCAATCGAAATAAAATCACAAGGGTTTAAGAGTTGCTAGTTTGTATTATTTTGGTGACTTCATTATCTTGTCTTGAGCTTGAACTGTTATTGCTGAAGTTAGACTTAAATTGTTATATACTAGTGAACTAATTTCTACGACTGTATTTTTTATTGTGGTGTATTTCATATTTTGTAACTACACTGACCTTCTCTTTCTCTTTAATAAGCTTAAGTTGGTTTTTATGTTAGTTTTATCAAACACATACCAAAATACTTGGGACTTAAATTTTCTGAAGTCATTATTATTATTATTATTAAAACGGCGGCTTTTACTCAAAAGAAAATTTTCCAACACCTTTAATTTTGAAGATGCGAAAATTATTAGTCTTTAATTGTAGAAGTAGTGATTTGGCCTCCACGGTGGACAGTGTAAAGTGCAGAATATTCATACGCATTAATTAATCACGTAAAATAAGATGCTTAATTTTAATCTTTGTCCCTTAAAGAGTAAAACCCTATATTTTCCTTACATTAATGGGTGGAGAAAAAGGTAAGGAACTTTTAGGTTTGAATATAACAGTACAACAAGGTCAAGGGTTAAGCTTGTGATTCATGTTCATTCGCGTATGAGTTGTTTTTGCAAGAGTGTGTCCTTAAAGAGGCCACATCGATCATGATATCGAAAGTGAAACTTTCAAAGCCGGCATGGCTGACCAGACCACCGACCCCATCAAACTTTTTATTAATTCTGCCAAAAAAAAAAACACAAAAATAATTAAAATAAAAACAAATGGACCACATATTATTTTATCCAAAGTCAACATTATCTTTTTCTCCACCATCTCTATAATATATATACACAACCGTAATCAGTAATCTCTTCATCACTTCTCTCTCTCTCTCTTTCTATTGAAATGGGAAATGCAATCAGGACTCCATGCTTTCAATTACACAACACAAACTCATCATCATCATCATCAGTGAATCTCATCTTCTGGGAAGGCACAACAAGATCCCTGAAGGGAAAACACATAGCTGGTGAGATCATGTTTGAGTTCCCTGACAAGATCGTGTGCCATGCAGACTCTTTCTTCATTGGCCACCCCATCCCTGCTTTGTCCATAGATGATGAACTCATGCCAGGCCAAACCTACTTTGTTCTCCCCATTGACCTCTTTGCATGCCACACCCTCTCAGTGGCTTCCATTTCTGCCCTTGGATCTTGCCCTAACAAGTCCCCCATCAAGTTTGGGGCATGCCCTTTTGAGTACCTCAAGGGTTCCAATGGAAGGGTCCTCATCAAGGTCATGCCAGAGTTCATCACTAGGCTCATAAGTGGAGACAAAGAGAATAATATTGGACCCCCTGGTAGCCCCTCCAGTTTTCTGTGTAGCACTCCTGAGTTGCAAAAGCACTATGAACAGCTTGTCAAGTCTAAGGACCAGGTGTGGTCTCCTAAGCTTGAAACCATTTCGGAATACAAGATTAGGTTTTCGCCATGCAGATTCATAGGGTTAGAGTGGAAAGAAAAGGAAAAGTCAGAAGGAGAAATGTTTACTAGGTAGTTCATTTTTCTTGATTAGAAGTACTCGTACTCATAGTCATAACATATTAATTTGTACACTGTGATATAAATCATATATATATACATTAATTGTTTCTATGGCCATTCAGGATATATGATTAGCCACTCCTTTTGATTTCGCCTGTTTTTTTTATAATTTTGTGAAATTATGGAAATTATTTGTTTCAATCTTTTCAAGAGCTGTTGAGTATATCCTTCTTAATTGATGTACAAAGGAAGCCTGAATTTATAATCTTGCAATTGATCCCCAATTCTGATCGTGTGCACTTTGTATTATGTCTGTTGCAAGTGGAAGAAACTTTGCTGCAGATTGGTTAAAAAAAATTAGAGTCGTGATATTTACACGCAAATAAAGATCACAGACCTTTCATGACACATGCAGTTATCTAATATTTCTTCGTTTCTTTTGATCTCTCCCTCTCAATTGTGACATTCACGGTCCATTTTCTATTAAAGTTCTGTGATATATACATATAATTGGCTTCCGTGTAAATAACAACAGAAAAAATTATACTCTTAATAAGGAGAGAGTGAGACAGATTATTACAAATATTCTATTATATTAGACTGTTAGTTACTGCTTCTATACATGAATTTTGATGCAAGCATTTATAGAGAGCTACAAATTAAAGTCTCTTGTTGTTTGGTATTTGTTGTATTTTGTAGAGATAATTTTTGATGAGAAGTATGAGAATCGAACTCCTAAAGAAACTTAACTTCAGTGTACTCCGAGAAGTTGAGCATGGGAAAGCATAGTGTGTCAAGAGGAAATCCTAGGGTGCATTGCATCTCATCAAGTAAATATTTTGGTGAGGACGTTCTCCTAGGAAGGCTTCCCCCAATTGTTCTATAAATGCTGCAAAACCCATGTTATGCATATTATTAGATTGATAGCAGGAAATAGAATAACACAGTTGTTATTGTATGATTAAGTATTACATATACATACTTTATTTCACAATACTTTTTTCTCTTTATCTTACACTTTTCTTTTTATCTCTCTCCTTATCGGTAAAAGTTATGACAAGAATGTGAAATAGGAGTGACATTACTCTTCAAAATAGGATCCAATATAAACTAGCTAATAAAATGGATTTTATATCATCTATTCATTGTATAATAGCAAAGAATATAAGAAAAACTGCATTCCATTATATTTCCTATGTGCTAATTTTATTGCATTTTATTTTATCCCATTCTATGTGTATCTATATATATTAGATATCCAAACAAAATTACCATAAAAGATCAAAAGCTAGAGAATGTGTAAACTGTCAAGTGCTGGTAACTAACCGTGTGTGGAAGCAACAGCAGTACAAGGCACACACAACCTAACATAGGAAGCGATGGAGAAGTTAAAGTATCAAACATAGGAGAAAACCATCTTTGTAAAACTAAAGGCTTCAGTACCATCTAGCTTATAGTATACTATACAGCAGGTCCACCAAAAAAAAAAAGCTGAAAGGAAATTATGCTTTTCTTAGATTAGGAATTACTAATCTTTGTCAACATACAATGGATTAATTCCTAGTGCAACCCTGCAGGTACTGAACCAGTGAACCAAAAAGTGCCTCCTAGTTTGGTCCTCTGAGTCTTCCAAGCCTCACCCAGATAATGAACACTGTATATTGTATCATAAGGAAAACACATATGATGAGTTAAATTGGTTATACGTACTAGATATAAAATAACAAATGTGTGGAGTTTGTGTTGACATAATTAACTTGATTAGTTTTTAACAGATAATTGAGTTGAGTTATGCAATTTCCATGCTACTTACATATGTGCATGTACACAAGTATTTAAGTTTAATTATATTTTTTTTAATTTATTTTTTTATAAGCCAAAAATATATACAAAGGGTTCTCCAGCTCTTTACGATCCAAAGCAGTAGCGGAAGACGCATAGTGATCAGGTTTGCAAGTGCACTCCTTTTGAAAAAATTTACCTAGAAATGTTTGAATTTTTTATATTTTGTCCCTATTAATTTTATGTATTTGAACTCACACTTTAAATTTTAACTCATTAAATATTTTAAATTTTTATATTTTGTTCATCTATTTGAACTCACTATATTTGATGTTCCCACTAACTCAAGTCTTGGATATGTCATTTCCAAAGGTTTCATGCTACAAGTGATAATTAAGAGGAATATAATAAAGTGATTTCATGCTATTAGGGTTGATTTTGTGGTGACAGATAATGTAGTATACATGAAGTCATGAGTTCTAAGCTTTAAATATATATGACCATTCTTCAAAAAAAAAAAAAAAAAAAAAAAAAAA